AACAAGATCACTCTGCTGGCTGTTGTATTGGATCACACGTCGGACACTTCCCAAGTATCTCATGTAAGCCACCCCGAGTCCCCCTGGGGAGATGGAGCAGGGTATAAATAAAGATGATGATGATGATGATGATGATGATTATTATTATTATTATTATCATCTAGTGCTGTGTGATGTATCGGTGAATAATGCATGCAGATCCCAGTAGGATGGCCTTTTGCAGCTGGCAGATGGTAATCTTGTCAGCGCTGATTGTGTTTAAGTGCAGTCCAAGGTCTTTAGGCACTGCGCCCAGTGTGCCAGTCACCACTGGGACCACCTTTACTGGTTTGTGCCAGAGTCTTTACAGTTCCATTATTATTATTATTATTATTATTATTATTATTATTATTATTATTATTATTATTGTGCTGTTTTCAGGCAAAAATATGTCCTGAACATTGGCACCCCCCAATTAGAATTGTGGTGATGTCTAAAGATTTTGGGATGTTCTAGAGCATTTTAGAGGGCATACTTGGGGTTCCCAAAGGGAACCCCAAGTATGCCATATGTGCCCATAGTCCAGTTTTTGTTCATCCTTGATATACATTGCTGCAAATTTTAATCACTGTTAAAACCAAGAAACAATTCAAGTAAATGATAATACTTTTTAGAAAATGTCTTATAAAAAGAATATTCTGAAAAATCAGGCATTGTCCAGCAGCAAAGCCTGAAGGCCCAAGACAATTGCAAACTTGCTAATATAGGATGTGGCCAGGAAAACAGTCCACAGGGGGAAAGACATTTTTTAAAAAAGAAAATGCCAAATGTGCAAATCTGTCATTCTTTGCCTTAATGGGCACTTACAAATGTGCAACTTGCCAAAGATCTTCCTCCACAATATGATTGTGGTTATAAAACGAACAGCATGGTCAATAACATGATCTAATCTGATTGAAGGGGCCAGTAAGAAAATTATTACCCACTTTACAACCCATTAACATCAAACCTGCATTACAGAAATGCACACACGCTAGATTAAAAACTTGCTTACTTAAAGCAAGGGGTCTAAATAAACTCCATTATTTGAGGGGGTTTTATTGCTGAAGCAAAAAATGAATACCCCCTTGATGACGGGGCCAAAAGGCAGAAGGGGATATGATGCTGATAAGTTGCTGAGTTCGAGGATTTGACAGTCATCGATAGATGTTGGGGAGAATATAAAACCAAGAGACTATTTGGATTTATAGCTTGTACCTTTGGTTTGACAGACTAATAGAGATGGAAGAATATGGTACAGAGGAAATTCAAACATCTTGAAGGTTACTAGATTTTAAGACTGAGAGCCTAAATAGGGACAATTTTGAAACAGAGCTTGGTTCCTAAACCCTTTTAAGGCAATTATCAGGCAACCTTGGAAGTCATCAAAATTGGACTCTTTGGTTGAATTTGTTGTGCCTTGAAAGGTATTTTGTGTGCCTTCAAGTCATTTCAGACTTATGACAATCCTACAACAAACTTATTATGGGGCAAGATTTATTAAGAGAAGTTTGCTATTGCCATCCTTTGAGGCTGAGAGGGTGTAACCAGCCCAGGATCACTTGGCAGATTTCTATGCCTGGGCTAAGATTTGAACCCTGTTCTTTCAAAGCCCTAATTCTATACCCAAACCACTAAACTATGATGCTTCAACATGAAATTTATTACCAATAAAATTGTACATGAAATTTATTATTAAAATAGATGTGATTTTAATAATAAATTTCAGGATCAGGAATCATTTGTGAACCATACAGCACTGATTGTGAAATTCACATTGAGTTTTTATTTTAAAAAGGAAAAAACAATTTTGAAAAGGAACCACTGTTTTACATGATGACCCATCAGCAGAGGCGGCCCTAGGTATTTTTCAACGGTAAGCAAACAGTATTTTGGCGCCCCCCCCCCCCCCTCCAACCAATCATTGATATATATTTTCTGTTCGTCGTGGGAGTTCTGTGTGCCATATTTGGTTCAATTCCATCATTGGTGGAGTTCAGAATGCTCTTTGATTGTAGGTGAACTATACATCCCAGTAACTACACTTGCCGCACTTGCTCCCTTGCCTGGCCCGCTTTGGGTCCGGAGGCGTGCCTGAAGACCCCGGCGTGTGCACCAAAACTCACCTCTTCTCCTGACTTTCTCTCAGCCATTGGGACCAAGAGAGAGAGAGAGAGAGAGGTGGAGATGCCCACCTTTCCTGAAGGTAGGCAAAAACAAAGGAGGGAGCGGAGGTGGGAGATACCTCCAGCCGGAGCACTCACTCACTCTCTCGCTCTCTCTTGGTCCCAATGGCTGAAGAGAAAGTCAGGAGAAGAGGTGACTTTTGGTGCACACGCTGGGGTCTTCAGACACACCTCCGGACCCGAAGCAGGCCAGGCGCGGCGGCTCCGCCCCTTGGCCCACCCGCGGATTGGGGAGAGGAGAGGAGGCGGGTGGAACGCCGGGGGATCGGGAAAGGGAGCCGGTCATGGGGAAGGGATCTAACGCGGAGAACGATTGAACGCCGGCTCTGCTCACACACCCGGTGGCTGGGTGGAGCAGGAATGAGAGGACCTAGGCGAGGCTCAAGGGCCCTGCCCCTTTGGGAAGAGGATCGCCCGGCAGCGAGGCAAGAAAGCCGAGGCTCCCCCCGGACTGCTAGGGCTGTTGTGAGCTGAGGGGGCGCTCCTCAAGTGGCGGTCGAGGGGCATTTACAGAGACGCCTCTGCGCCCCTGGCAAAAAAAAGTGTTCTGCGACCGCTTACTTCACATAATGGACGAGCCGCCCCTGCCCATCAGTTTAATGAGCCAGGTGATCCAGACCAGGACTTCTTAAACTCTGGGTCGTAACCCCAAATGGTCCTGTCAGCTCAATGTTGGGATCCTGAAAAATTTTCTTAACATTTTATTTATTTGTTTGTTTGTTTGCCATAGTTGTATCCCATCTTTCTCAACCCTCAAGGGGACTCAAGGCAGCCTTACAAAGGCAACAATTCAATGCCGCATGTACACATACATAAATGAATAAACAAAACATTAAAAATTAATCAATTAAAACATAACATTAAAACAACAATTAAAAATCACATAATCTAGATCATATTCCAGGGTCAGTCCGGGTTTTCACTAAGTTAATTTATAGTCTTTTATTGCACTGCTTATTGCACTGCTCCCATTACTGACCAAAAACCTAATCACAGAGCCATGTTTTAGTTTTTTTCTGAAGGCCAGGAGGGAGGGAACCAATCTAATTTCACTGGAAAGGGAGTTCTATAGATGAGGGGCCATCACTGATAATGCCCTGTCTCTCATCCCCACCAGCTGCACTTGCGAGGGGGGTGGGACTGAGAGCAGGGCTTCCCTGAACATCACCTATTACATGAATCTATTGTGCAGTGTTCACAGAAGATGCTCCAGCTGTACTTCATAAAAAGGAGGATTTGTTTGTTTGTTTGCAGTATTTATATCCTGCTGTTCTCAGCCTGAAGGCAACTCAAGGCAGCTTACAAGTTGGCAGCAATTCTATGCCCCGGTAGACATAAAATACAGTTTAAATACATTTAGCATATAATATAAAACCATACAAAAAAACCATTAAAAACAATCAACCTGTTCAGCAAGCCTTGCAAATGCTGGTTTGTTATCCGTAAATGTTTGGTTCTTATATCTATTTTATATACTTATTTATGCAGAGTAACACAAAACTTTCTTCGGACAGAAGGAGTCCCATGTGGAAAAGTTTAAGAAGTTTTGATCTAGACCAAGGGTTCTTCTGGATGGAAGGCTTCTAACACAGGCAGCAAAAGAAATCGAACAGCTGCGCTGGCCTTTGAGCTTAATACAGTTTCTCTGATATGGAAAATAATGGTGAAAGCTATAGGGAAATACAGAATTAAATATGATGTTAGCTGGGCACTGTGTACGATTCTTAAAATATATATTTAAATACCAAAAGTCAGAGCAATCCAATCCTTGGGGCTGACACATAGGCTGTATCCCTCACCGGCCAGCCAACTGCTTCAGAATCTGCTATGAGCTCGTCTTCTATTCCATGGCAATGGCATTGGCAAACATTCCAGGGTCCCTATAGCAACTCAGTGGAGCAATCCAAGCAATTTCAGCTCTATCAAATTCTGTTTGGCTTCCCTCAACAAAGAAGTTCTGACCAACAGATTTTGTTGATGTTGTGTGCTCTATTTCTGACTTATGGCAGGTTTATGGTGAACCTATCACAGGGTGTTCTTGGTAAGTTTTGTTCAGAAGTCTGCCATTGCTTTTCTTTGAGGCTGAGAGAATGATTTGCTCAAGATCACCCCGTGGATTTCATGATCGGGTGGGAATTCAAACTTTTGTCTCCAGAGTTGTAGTTCAATGCTCAAACCACTTCACCATGTTGGCTAATTGTTACTTTGTTTATTGGAGGCACCTTCATGTGTAGTAACTATAATGATTGTTTGATGATGTATATAAGACAACTGACATGTTAGGGCAGATTCACAAATGCATACTTTTCATTTGGCAAGTAGGAGATTCCATCTGAACATTAGGAAGAACTTCCTGAGTGTAAGAGCTGTTCAGAAGTGGAACCCTCTGCCCCGGAGTGTGGTGGAGGCTCCTTCTTTGGAGGCTTTTAAACAGAGGCTGGATGGCCATCTCTCAGGGATGCTTTGAATGCAATTTTCCTGCTTCTTGCCAGGGGGTTGGACTGGATGGCCCATGAGGTCTCTTCCAACTCTATGATTCTATGATTCTAAGTACATCTTCAAGTGAAGACTTGCATGTGTGAGTGGACTACCTCTTTCATGTCATCTAACATTTTCTTAAATTACAATACTTGTCTGACAATCGCTATGCTCAATTACAGATCAGCAAGTATATGTGTTAACTGTATGTGATAATCAATTGAAGTACATGAATGTATGAGCTTTTCCTAAGAACTAATCTGAGCAAATATCTTAGAATCAAAAAGAGATAATCTTATTGAACATTTGATAGCTTACCATGGCATGACCAGATCCGCAACTGTCAGTCCTACAATTAAAAAACATCGATGGGTTTTAAGGGTTCAACATCCCCAAATACAGTTTGCAAATGAATGTAGTGGCTAAGCTAGGGTATAAACCAATTTCAAGAAACCTACAGTTCAATATCTGCCATCTGGAAGAAGGATATTCAGTTACTTATTATGTTGTCACTCTATAGCAAAATTCTAAAGAGAAATTTGGGGGGCAAGTTTTGGAATTTTTACCGGTGATATTAGATTCATGCTTTACGTTTTACTAGCCACCCCCTGCCATGCGTTGCTGTGGCCCAGACTGTGTATATGTGTTTTGTGTGTGCATATATGTGTGTGTGCGCAATTTTTGGTTTTTGGCCCTTTAAGTCCCTTCTGTTGTATTTTCCAGTGTTTTTATGAGTGATGGTCACTTGTTGTTCTGTTAGGGTTGTAGTGTCTTGAGTCCAAATTTGGTGTCAATTCGTCCAGTGTTTTGTGTTTTGTGTGTCTATATTCGTGTATATATGTGTGCTTGCATATATGTGTGTGGTTTTGCGCATGCATTGTTCAGTCCCCACGAATTCCTCCCCCACAAATGTACCTTGCTATCTTATCCAGAGTTTTACCATTTTATGTCATGCATTTGGCCCGCCCACTGTGTTTGATTTTCTATTATGTTATTTTGTACTGTTTATTTACTTGATTGGTTTATTTATTTTAACTGTGATGTTATTTTGTTGTTTATATGTTAGGTTGCTGTAATGTATCATTGGGCTTGGCGAGTCCCCTTTGGGGAAATGGTGGCGGGGTATAAACAAAGTTTATTATTATTAATAATGTAATTTTTGTTTTTTGTCTTTTTAAGTCCCTTCCACTGTGTTTTTCAGTGTTTTTATGAGTGTTGTTCACTCATTGGCCTGATAACTGTCTTGTGTCCAAATTTGGTGTCAATTTGTCCAGTGGTTTTTGAGTTATGTTAATCTCACAAACGAACATTACATTTTTATTTATATAGATAGATTAACATGTATTGCATCATGGTTATATTTAAGTTATTTTGATTATTGGGTTTTTCTTCAGGCAGCAAAATATGTTGAGCAACCATTGACAAAAATCTACTTCTACTTTGACTTTGTGATATATTTCAGTACAGTGGCCCATACTACAGCTATTCTGCCTTGCTTATGGACCACCAAGCCAAGCACTGTCTGCTGCTAGTGTGACGGCACAAGTGGTGCCACCTATATTTAGAACTCTAAGTTGCAGGATTTGAACTTATGCTTCATGTTCAGATCAACCTGGATGACGTTGAGAAGTCTCAAGTGCCTTCAAACCAGTTCTTTGGCACCAGAGGAAGGCTTTGTGCCTTCAAAATATAGGCCATTGGAATTGGGGTTGTGATTATTCCGATATTCACAGCCATTGAGAAAGAGGGACCTGGAAAAGCTTCTCAGCTGCAAAACTCCTTGGACCCAAGACAACCAGAGACTGTAATGTATATTTTCCTTTACCCCTTTGAACTGTTGTATCATGCCTGATTTTGCCTTTTTACCCTGTAAATGTATAGTTGGATTGATTGGTTTTTATAGCTGTCAATCAATCAGACTTATGCTTCATGTTCAGATCAACCTGGATGACGTTGAGAAGACTCAAGTGCCTTCAAACCAGTTCTTTGGCACCAGAGGGAGGCTTTGTGCCTTCAAAATATAGACCATTGGAATTGGGGTTGTGATTATTCTAATATTCACAGCCATTGAGAAAGAGGGACCTGGAAAAGCTTCTCAGTTGCAAAACTCCTTGGACCCAAGACAACCAGAGACTGTAATGTATATTTTCCTTTACCCCTTTGAAACTTCCAGCTTATTGCCTTAAAGGGATAACTCTTTGTGAACAATAAAACCTATTTTGAGTTATCTACAGTGTTTTGGTCCTTGGGAGTTCCAGTTTTCCTAAAGGAGGGCAAGAAGCAATCCCCTGGGGGAAAGATGTCATGTCCATGCCTCTTTCACTAAGAGTTATAGCCCCCAGGCATGACGGCATAGCTAGCAACATGTAGGAATTTATCAGGAGTTCTATAAAATTACAAATGCTGCTGCTTGCCTGCTTTTTTTTAAAAAAAAAACCAGGCATGTCAAAACTATGTAGAAGGCTACTATGAATGCATGGTGGGCAGTGTTTGATCTACTAGTTCACCAGTGGGCTAGAGTCCAAGCAAATGGTCATGCAAGTACAATATGGTCCTGAATCCTGATACACATGTTAGGAAATAGAAAGGACACAACATAAAAGGGAATCACCTTTGCATATTATCATAACTCCTTTCTGTGTTCAGGAACTATGCTAAACAAACGTTAGAAAGATTTATCTAACTTCGTTCCACCATTCTGATGGCCTTCTGCCAATTGGCAGGGAAAGATGAGTATTTCAAGAAACATTTGTTGAGCGCTGACAAGTTGTAAGAGGAGATCCACCAAACCAATACTCTCATGAGTGATGCTGGACTGGAAAATACATGTGGTTTTCCCAGATTAAACTGTGCATGTAATTAAAGCCTGTGTTATGAAGATGGCAGCTCAGAAGTGCCGCCAATTGATTTCTGAGCTAAAATACAGAGCGAGGCAATTATTGTACTTGGCATCATGCTAATCCATTTAACCGAGAGCCCAATAACAGGAAACCATTGTTACACAATATGTAACTTGGATTTGGACGACTGTAACATGATCTTAAAAGCTTCTCTAGCTCTCAGAAGTCAATATACTTCTTGTGAAAAGGAAGGGTCAGCAAAACGGAGCTGTTACAGACCTTGCTTAAACCTAAAGAAAATGGCCTCATAGACAATGCACTGAGACAATAAAATTAAAGAATGAACTCTAGCTAAATAAAGTAATGGTCCTCCAGTGGAAAGGCAAAACACAATTAGCATTCACATGCTTATTTTAAGATCAATATTTTTTCTGCTGATTTGCTGAAGAGGCTTTTATGAAGTTTAAGCAGAGTTCATTGTTAAATACTCTTTACCTAGAGAGGATATGGTAGTCCATATTAATTCCTTTTTCTTTTAGAGATCAATAATGAGATTGCTGATTGGTGTAAAATTTCTTGGGGTGAAGCATAGCAAAAGGAAGTTGTGTCATACCATTCCACGGAGCATGCTCGAAAAACCAGTAACCACCACCTCCACAGTTCACAAAAACCATTAGGGTAAGAGAAAATCTGTAGGAAGAAAACAAACAATAAGAAAATCTGTAGGAAGAAAAAAAAACAATAAGTAGAATAATTTCTAGAAAGGTTTAGTTTAGTTTACTGTGGGGGAAAAAAGCAACAAACTTTGCAGCATTTTAATCACTAACATATGTGTTATGGCATGATCTTTCATATATCAGATGAACTGCACAACAGTACATAAACATATGTGTTATGGCATGAGTTTTAATATATATTATGATCTGCACTATAGCACAGAAACACTCATACCATTATCAATGATATCTCAGGGTGCATCTTCACTGTAGACTTAATGCAGTTTGACTCCACTTTAACATAGCCGCTCTATGACAGAAACATGCTATCTTTCCATTCCCCTCATCCTCAGCTCCACACTCAACATAGACCACAGTGGCCGAAATATTCTTATTTATTTATTTATTTTATCTCTTGTGAACAAATATTCATTTATTTGCTGTAGGGAGAAAACTACTCTAAGTACTCATCTTGACATGTGAGGAAGAAATGAATGAGGACTGAATCTCTATCTCAAAAATTCCAAGTTGGTGCCGAAAACATACTGGCTTAGTGTAAAAGAATTTGTAGTTCTGTTACACATGTAACAGGCATGTTACAGACCTGGGTTAAAGGCATCGGATTTAAGAAACCATCTTTTCTGGGATTCTTTCTCCTTGGATCTCTTTCGGCACCTATGTGATCTGTTTTGGCCAGAAAAAAATGGCGGCAGAGCCTGTGCCATTACAGCTGGCTGAAACGGCCCAAACAGCCGAAGCCCACTTTGCACAACACTATTTGCCACCTGCCTGGACACTGAAAAATAGAGTTACTGCATTTCAGGGCCTGGCCCTAAATACCTAGTTTTTATGTGTCATCTCCAGGAAGGAGATGCAGAGGCAAATTTTCCGATCCTCATGGGCTCTGCTTCAGGCAAGAGGAAAGGGTTGTGTGCAGATCTCCACCTCAGCTACAATTTTCAACACTTAGCTAATTTGTTGGTGATAAAGGGCCATCTAAAATAACTCTTATTTATAGGGTCACTATAAACTGAAGCCAATTTAGTATAACACAATCATAAAGTTGGAAGAGGCACCAGGAACCATCCAGTCCAAACCATTCTGCCATTAAAAATACATAACAAAGCAGCCCTGACAAAGGGTCACTCAGTTTAAAAACCTCTGGAGAAGGACTCCACCCCACTCTGGGAAATGCATCCCTTGAGCAGGGAGGGTGGGGGAGTAGGGGAATTAGAGGGAACCCTCTTACCCCATTTGAGGTCCATTTTCTGGGCCCACGTCCTTTCCCTGTCAAGGTTCATCTCTTCCCCACTTTGCCCCATTTGGAGCCAGGTAGCATCCAACTCCTCAAAACACATTTTCATGCACTGTGGAAACGGAATGCCCTTACATCCTGTGATGTTCTCCTAGGGACTCCATTTCCAAAGCACATGGAAACGGAGCCCAGAATGAGGGGATGAGGTCCTGAGGCAGCATATTCCACCCCCCAAACAATGCTTGCCATGAGGAAGTTCTTCCTAATGTTTAGGTGGAATCCTTTTTTTTATTATCGAAGGCTTTCATGGCTGGAATCACTAGGTTCTTGTGGGTTTTTTCGGGCTATAGAGCCATGTTCTAGAGGCATTTCTCCTGACGTTTCGCCTGCATCTATGGCAAGCATCCATCCATGGATGCTTGCCATAGATGCAGGCGAAACGTCAGGAGAAATGCCTCTAGAACATGGCTCTATAGCCCGAAAAAACCCACAAGAACCTTTTTCTTATTGTTTGAGTCCATTGCTGCATGTCCTAGTCTCTGCAGCAGAAGAAAACAAGCTTGCTTGTTCTACTAAGAGCCCTAGATCCCTATCACATATCTTATGACAATTAACAACACCAACTTTGTTTTGGTGATAGAACCTGCAGAGATGTGTATTCTTAGTTATTTTCCTCCTTCCCTCCCAGTCATCATGATGCCAAGCTTCACCTTCCATTCTGCCCTTCTCTGTCCTGATGTCTAAAAGCAAGTAGGCTAGATTAAATAATCCATATCCCATCTTGCTAAATGAGAAGGAATAGTCCTTCCTTTCAACTTGATCTTAGAGCAGCCTCTTTAGCTAAGATTTTGGTCTTTATTTCCAAACAGGAACATATTTTTTCTGTGTGGAGCATATGTTTATTTGAACAAAAAAGCTGTGAGAATCTGTGGTTGGTACTCAATGCATAACATAGGTCTCAGGTTTTGGACTGGAAAACATTGGGGTGTGAAACAATCCTGAACTGCAACCTTACTGAACAATACTTTGATCCTTTTCCCACTGATTTCGGGTTATTATATTACCATGTCGGTTGAATTTAAACACATTTTGGACACATTACCTTCATGCTGACTTCCACAACCAGTTCATCCAGAAGCAATTCTGCTCTGTTTTGTGATATCACAAGAACACCCCCCCCCTTTTCCCGTTCATACTACATAGTCTCTGATTTTGACCCTGAAGCCTCAGATATTGGGATGCTGACCTTAGCCAGTAAAATGAATTCGCAATCATAATATAATGTTATGCTTCTATTATTGAGGCAAGGGATTAATTACAACTAACTGTGTAGTTTTGTGGTGGTGCAACACTCTTGGTTAGAGAAAGAATGGCTGGTTTTCCATGGAATCACTGTCACATCTGGTCAGAAACAGCTTGTTATATACACATGCTACACTCGCTAAAGATTGGGCCTAACTTATCCAGAAATCCCAAATCCCCAAAATTCCAAAATCTAAAATTGCCTTCATGGATGGCTGAGATAGTGACATCTTTCTTTCCGACGGTTCAATAGACACAAGCAAAAAGTGGACGCTAGAAACAATATCATACGAAAGCTGACTGGCACAACCTGGGGATCACAACCAGACACAGTGAAGACATCTGCCCTTGCGCTATGCTACTCTGCTGCTGAGTATGCATGCCCAGTGTGGAACACATCTCACCACACTAAAACAGTGGATGTGGCTCTTAATGAGACATGCCGCATTATCACAGGGTGTCTGGGCCCACACCACTGGAGAAATTACACTGCTTAGCCAGTATTGCACCACCTGACATCCGCCAGGAAGGCAGCCAATAGTGAAAAGACCAAGGCAGAGACATCTCCAGCTCATCCCTTGTTTGGGCATCAGCCAGCACGTCAACTACTTAAATCAAGAAATAGTTTTCTAAGATATAGACACTCGCTGGAACACCTCAGCAAGCGAGAGTCCAAAAGTGGCAGGCTCAAACCCAGCACCTCAATCCGTGGGTGATACCAGATGAGAGACTCCCCCCTGGGCACACAGAAGACTGGACGACTTGGAAGGTGCTGAACAGACTGCACTCTGGCACCACGAGATGCAGAGCCAATCTTAAGAAATGGGGCTACAGGGTGGAATCCACGGCATGCGAGTGTGGAGAAGAGCAAACCATTGACCACCTGCTGCAATGCAACCTACATGCACAATGGAGGATCTCCTTGCGGAAACACCTGAGGCACTCTAAGTGGCCAGACACTGGCCAAAGGACATTTAATCAACTACCAAGCTTGTGTTTTGTCTGTTTGTTTGTTTTGTTAAAAATGTAAAACAAATATCTGGTTGCTCCTGACACGATAAATAAATACTGTCACATCTGGTCAGAAACAGCTTGTTATTTACTGAAGAGCCATACTCATGCTACACTCGTTAGAGATTGGGCCTCCCTTATCCAGAAATCCAAAATCCAAAAAATACCAAAATCTAAAATTGGTTTCATGGATGTCTGAGGTAGACATCTTTCTTCCTGATGGTTCAATGTACGCAAACTCTGTGTCATGCACACCTTTTTTAAAAAACAGGAGATGTATATAAGGTGTATGTGAAATATAAATGAAATGTGTGTTTAGACTTGGGTATCATCAGCAAGATACCTCCTTATGTATGCATATGTAAATCCAGCTATTCCAAAATTCAAACAAATCCAAAACACATCGCTCAACCTGTACTTTCATGAAAAGAAACAACTGTTTGTAGTTTCTGATCTATCAAGTTACACCACCAGCTTCACATTGCTACATCTTCAAAAGATCAAGGCTCCCAAACAAGTAAGAGCCTCTGTTGAAAAATATTTGTATAAAGAAACCATTCAGGTCATAATGAGCAGCAGCTTGCTGAGCTCCAGATAAGGACAGTTACGGAAATTGATAATTTTGTTCATTTTGTTTAGTAAGGAGACATCACAAGCCGGTGCTTTAATCTTCCTTATAATACAAAAATATATTGCTTTTGGCATCAGACTTTTTTTTAAGGAAACAGAAGAATCTAATTAGTTTTTGTTTAATGAGCAGCTTTCATGTTTCCCCTTGGGGGGATAATGCACTTAGGTGTTAACCCAAGATGGTATTTTAACAAGAAAAGGGGTTGGTAGGGTTTACTCTTTGGTGTTTTGTTTTGGACAGTAGGTACTGTTCCATTATCTGGGCAGACTCCAAATTGAAGCCTAGACAGAGAAGGATAGTCCATTTTATTGGGGAGGGGGGGAGTTGAAAGAAGAAAACCATTTTCCCCATTTTTACTGGATTTCCCCACCTTTCCCATAGCATAAGTGATGGCTGTTTTGACGATGTCTACATGGTGTGTGTGTGTGTGTGTGGAATAACAGGAAAACAGGGGAAAGTGGTTTAATTCCTTCAACCCTACTCCCCCGTAAAATGAGTATCCTTCTCTCTCTCTAACGCCCCCTTGTGGTCTCTGCCCAGATAACGGAATAGTAACAGACAGTGGAAATACAGTCTTGAAGATATGTCTCTCTACATTTGCAGTTTTGACTTTTGTGGATTTTTCCACATATTTCGATTAAAAATATTATCTCCAGGAATCTTTTGGCCCTCTGTTGTGACTCTATGGCAAACTTCCTCCAGTTATGTTGGAGGATGAGATTTTTAGAAGAAAACACTGGTCTGGGAATCTCTAGGTCCCCCAACACAATTCTGTAGTCAGTTTCCAATAACAGTTGACTGTAAAGTCGTATTGAAAGACCTAAAAATTATAGAAAGGTGTTCTTTCAGGTAAAAAAAATAGTGATGTCTTTATTTGTAGTTTTTCACTTTCACAGAGGTCTTGTGTCCCTGGCTCCAGTGAATGTGGAGGGTTGACGGCTATAATGTCTTTTTATGAGTTTGCATGATTACGGAGACCAGAGGATCCATCATTTCATCTATGTGGTTGTTGATACACATTGAAGTTTTCCATGTGACTCCCATGGTAATGCACAGGTACTATGGCAGTTAAGGAGTACAACCATTACAGCTTTTATTTTACTTAACAGCTTAGGCAGGAAATGGAGGTAGAATGAATGAGTAGATGGAATATGACATCCTAGGGTCAGAAGCAAAGGGATAGATTGTATTAATTAATTCTTCTACTTTCTCCACACCAAAAAAAAAATACTCTTTACAGCTATACAGAATGAGGAAGTGCCTGTCTCCGCTTCCCCAAATGAGATTATTGAACAATTTTGATTCTCTAATTTATCTGGATAATATGTGAAATATATAAAGCAAGGTGCTCTCAAAAAAATTTTTTTACAAAATTAAAAAGATTTGTATAAAAGATTTTACCAAAACATCTAGCAGCTATAGAATCATAGAATCATAGAGTTGGAAGAGACCTCATGGGCCATCCAGTCCAACCCCCTGCCAAGAAGCAGGAAAATCGCATTCAAAGCACCCCTGACAGATGGCCATCCAGCCTCTGTTTAAAAGCTTCCAAAGAAGGAGCCTCCACCACACTCCAGAGCAGAGAGTTCCACTGCTGAATGTCTCTCACAGTCAGGAAGTTCTTCCTAATGTTCAGATGGAATCTCCTTTCTTGTAGTTTGAAGCCATTGTTCTGCGTCCTAGTCTCCAGGGAAGCAGAAAACAAGCTTGCTCCCTCCTCCCTATGATTTCCTCTCACATATTTATACTTGGCTATGATGTCTCCTCTCAGCCTTCTCTTCTTCAGGCTAAACATGACCAGCTCTTTAATTTGCTCCTATGTTTAGTACTGGATACATTAGGAATTTACTTTTAATTGTGGCAATCTCTGGAGAAAATATTAGCTTAGTTGGACCAATGTTTTGAGTCAGAGCACAGTTATACTGTAGAATTAAATGCAGTAAATGCATCACCGTAACTGCCATGGCTAAATGCTACAGAATCCTGGGATTTGTACTTGCATCAATATATTTGCATCAATGCATATCTTAACACATTGTGTTTGCTAATATAGTT